ATATATATGAAACCAAAAAAGGCTACTTTAGGAAGAATAAATGTCATTTTCTTTTGTTTTTTATTTTATATCTTTAGTCAGTTTAATGTACATTATAACAGTAAGCTAATCTTGTCCTTGTAAAAGAGCAATATGTTCCTTTTTTTTAATGTCGCAGTGCAACTTACATCTTACACACCTGTGCAATGTACCATGAGGTGTACACCCCTGAAAGAACACACAGTGGAATCTCCCTTTTCGTCCTGTTTCTGCAGGCCCACACTCACTCACTCACACACACACACGCATACACACACAGACTCACACATTAAGAAATAAAATCTCAGAGAAAAGGTAACACAGTCAGTGCCTACAATGTTATGTTTGAACTCTTTAAATCTACAGTATGTTATCTGCTCGAAGGAGCAGAAGTTTGAGGAGAAAAAAATCAACTTCAAACAGAAAGAGAGGCCTGCAGACTGAAACGGAATCATAAATCTCCAACAGCTGTGTGCGTGTGTGTGTGTGTGTGTGTGGAGGAACACCAGTATAGTTAGTCCTTTTCTGCTCAAGAGAGAACTGGGAGGCACGGGGGAAAGTGCTTGCATCAGTTAGTTTCTTTGTGACGCTCTCAAATGACCCGCTCAGAAACATGAGCTATGTCTTTGTGACGTGTTTGATGTTTCAATTCGGTGTGATGGGAAGTAAAAATCTATCCGAGATGGTCAAGAAAAAAAAAGAAAAAAAGGATGAATCAGTACGGCTTCGTGCTGGATGCAGCGGGTGCTACACATCTCTGTCTTGGACGCTTGGGGTCACCGTTGAGGCCTGATGTTGTGAATGAAAAATGATTCGAGTTGCAGAGACAAGACAGACCGTTGAGGTTTACAAGCATCCAGAATCAACTGTTTGTCACAATATCTTTCATTTCAGAGGTAACTGTATCCGTGTCTCTTACAGATGGAGTTTTAAAACCTTTCTGCAAACATTTATGGGGAAAAAGTAAGCCTTCCCTCATTCAAGTCTAGGATTTTACATAGTAGGACATACAGAAAAWTCTTTACTGAATAAAATCAAAGCCAAAATAATAGAGTTGCACATAAAAACAAGTCTACTCTTGCTGCTTTCAGAAGATTTAGGGTGTTAAAAGTAGCAGCTAGCTGCTGCAGATCAAATGAATTGATTAATCTATCATCATCGATGCAATCGCCTCTATAAAAGCAGGAGTTTTGGCAGTTTTCTGCTCTGGAGTATACAGGTGTGGGTTAAAACAATTTCAAAAAGGAAAAGACATCGGCAATGGCCTCAGAGAAGCAATCAGGGAGGGTTAAAGGTCAATTCCAAACCAGTTGGAGTCCATCGTTCCACAGAGCGAAAGGTTATTCACAAATGGCAAACATTTAAAACAGCTGCCAATTTTCCAAGGASTGGATGTTCTGGCTAAATCACTCCAATGCCTGACTGTGCCATGCTTAAGAGAAAAGAGTTTCATCTCAGACCCTGCAGGCTTCGGTTAACAGGTTAAAGATCAAATTTCATGACAAAATAATTAGATAAAAGACAACAATGATAGGTTTGTTAAGTGTTTCCAAGTGAAAGTGTCTATCCTCTAAATGTTTGTAAAATTATCTGAATAATCCACAAAACTTCTGGAACAAGGTCCTTTGGACAGAAGAGGCAGATGTTTAACAGTAAAGCATGTTTGGAAAAAAAGAGCAAACATGGGATATCTGCACAGCTCTTTTCAGCTGTGAAATATGGAGATGAAATGATGATGATTTGGGTTTGTTTTGTGCCTACAGGACCTGGGCACCTTGTTKTCAATGAGTTGACCATGACTTCCTCTGTCAACCATGGGATTTTAAGGTCAAATGTGAGGCCATTGGTCTGATAGCTGAGGCTTGGACCAAACTGGGTCATGAGAAAACTGAACAATGATTTCAAATATCCATCCATCCATTTTTTTCAGCTTATCTGGGGTCGGGTCGCTGGGGCACCAGCCTGAGCAGAACGACCCAGACYTCCCTCTCCCCAGCCACTTGGGCCAGTTCCTCTGGGGGAAAMCTAAGGCGTTCCCAGTGCAGCTGAGAAACATAGYCCCTCCAGTGTGTCCTGGGTCTTCCTCTGGGCCTCCTCCCAGTGGGACGTACCCAGAACACCTCACCAGGGAGGCGTCCRKGAGKCATCCTAACCAKATGAACCACCTCAACTGGCTCCTCTCGACGTGGAGGAGCAGCGGCTCTACTCTGAATCCCTCCCAGATGACTGAGCTTCTCACCCTATCTCTAAGGGAGAGCCCATCCTGCGAAGGAAACTCATTTTGGCCGCTTGTATTCACGATCTCGTTCTTTTGGTCACTACCCAAAGCTGAGGGTAGGAACGTAGACCGGCCACCACGACAGACGGTTACAGCGTCCACATCACTGCAGACGCAACACAAACCCACCTGTCAATCTCCCGCTCCATTCTTCCCTCATTCGTGAACAAGACCCMGAGATACTTAAACTCCTCCACTTAGGGCAGGACCTSTTCCCAGACCCAGAGGAGGCACTCTACCCTTTTAATGGTCCAGACCTCAACCTGATAAAAATACTGTCAAGGGAGCTTAAGGGAACTGCTCAGAAACAAACGTCTGCAAACCTCAAGGAACTGAAGCAACGTCAGAAAGAAGAGTGGACAGAATTCCTCCAYGATGTAAGAGACTGATGAAATCCAGAAAACAACTACTGCAAGTTATTACTGCTAAAGATGGTCTTACAAGCTGTTCAAGCGTTTCCATTTTGATTTCATTTTTCTTTTAATAAAGAAAGGTTGGAATCTGATGAGGGTTTTTGAAAACTAGACATAAGATTTGAATAATTTTAGAACCTGGTAAAAAATCTGATCMTTTCTCATTATGTCCTGTTACGTAAAAACCTTAGAATAGAAAGAAGGTTCACTTTTTTTCACCAAGACTGTGTCAGGTTTAATAAACCAGAGCAACGAACTGAATCCTTTTGCGTGGATGCTAAAGAAAAGATCTGCATTATTTCAATAAAACCGAGGAGCAAACGTTGCCCCCCTCAGTTGTTGTACAGTGTGTGTCTTCTAACATTATCTAACAAGAAAAAAAAAGAGAGAGAGAGAGAAGACCTTTGTGAGAATATTTGCATGTATCAYGCGCTACAAATCCTGCAAAAATGTGAAGAGGCGAACTAAAAAAAAAAGGATCCACAGTATTTGAAAACCCTGTCCTTTAAGAAAACCGGTCCGAGACCTTTCCTCCTGCAACACGACRGCAGGAGGCTTAAACCGGTAAAAACTGTCGCTCAGCTGTCAGTGGTGGTGGTTGTTTGCTTCCCGGTTGTTCAGCTGCTGAGCACCCTGCGTCTACAGAGTGAAGAGGGAGACACTGCAAAACCTTGGCATWGAATACATCATACTTTACATTATACCTATGACACAAAACGTAAATAGATTTATATATTCTCCTATGTTTAAATATATCTGTAGACTGTACACAAATTTTTAGAAAATGGGGTGGCGGATGCATTTACCTGATATCTGAACAGTGATGGGGAAGGAGGGCTGATRAGACAGACCCTGTGATGCAGCCGATGAGATAGAGAAATAGAAAGTGCATTCTTTGTAGTGAGTGACTGGTTTGGAAGGAACTCTTTATGTCTTGCATTCGCTGTTAAAATTAAAAAGTGAAAAAAAGAAGTAAATAAAATCTTTCCCCCAAATACAAACGCGCCGTCTCTTCCCCTCCGCTACCTCTAAAAGCGTATCACAGTGGAAGTGGAACGCAAACATTTACATTAGTATACACAGCAGTATACACATATACACAAGTCTATGAGAGCTTAGATTAAAAAAAATAAAAAGAAACAGAAAGGAGGTAAAGAGAGGGGTTGACAGAAAAAGAGGGTGCAGACAGAGGAGCCTCCTTCTGCAGTTCAAAGGGCGTTTCTGAAACACTTCACAGTTTAAAAGAGCGTGTGCTGCTGCTCCATGCTTAGATTTCATGGATTCCCAGAGAAATGGTGAAAACACCAGCACTGATAGCTAACCCGTCAGTCTTACRCCTCCCTCACGTGTCCCTGTCTGAGATTGGCCCGAATTAACAGTGAGGTCCCTGTAAGTAAAATCAATGACAGATGTGGTCAGAAGAAGACGAAAAAAAAAAACATTAAATAAAACAAAAGCGAAGAGAAAGGGGGAGAACTGGTGGCTCTGGGTGCAAAGTTCATCAGTAAAAAAGTACAGTGCTGTGGTGAAAAGGATTTTCTTCTGTATTGCTGCTACATAGCTCCCCCTGCTCCCTTAAAAATCAACCAAAACATAAAACAACAATCAAAAAAGTAGCTAAATGTAGAGAACACAAAGAAACAATATTAAGTCTCCTTTCTTTTTTTCCTGTTTTGCTTGACAAGCATTTGGCCAGTTCCATAAACAAAGGAAGATTAATGCGTTCTGTTCAGGCATGCAACAGGCACCCTGTGGGGTCCTTGGGATTATCAAAAGTTCATACACGCAGGTCTCATACCGTTTCCCTCTATGATATTTACACATCTTACAATGTTCCTGTGTGAGTGGGTGCGTGCTCCGAGTCGTGATCAGGAGAATGTAAAGCTCTGTGTCGGTGTGAGACTGAGCGACTGTGTGTGTATCAGCTCAGCTTGTTGTTGTTTTTATAAGTTTCTTCACACGTGCGTCTCAATGAAGGAGTGTGTGTGGGTCATAAGCGGCGCAGCCAGCGGGGAGAGGTCATCCTGGCCGTTGGTGCCGGGGCTGAGCTGGCAGATGTCTGAGTAGAGCTCGGTGTGCCACAGTTTCCACTCTCTGAAGGTCTGAGAGCACAGGCCGGGGTCCTCCAGGAGGGCGCAGATCACCGCCAGCTCCGACTCTTTGGCCTGCAGGAGCAAACAAATACCAGGAAGGTACAGAATTAATCCCATTTTTATGGCTTTTTTTTTTTTGTACTGATGCGAATCTGAGTGAGTCGGTACCTTCAAAGTGCTGCGGAGGGCTCGGACTCGGTGCAGCCGATCGTTGAGCAGGGGGTCTCTGACTCGCTGGGTGAAACAACGTCGAAGCTCCTGCCTGCTGCAGGGTTTGGGGTCTCCTAGAGGCGTCACGTTGGCTTGCTCGAGGGCCCGGTAAAGCTGCTCTAACCCCTCTAGCGGCTCGGGCTCGCGTCCCTCTGACACTCGCCGCTCCCGTCCTTCTGASACCCTCCTCTCTCTGCAGTCGACTCTAAAGTCCCGCAGGTCTGAAASAGCCAGAGGCCACAAGTAAAGGTCAGACGGATGCTGGGTAGTGTAGGGACGGGTGGTGAATTTATAATATTTTGAAGGGTCGTTATAATGAGCATATTCCAAGAATTGATGTGACCTTCACCCCAGTAATTTTAAGTGTTTTATTATTTTTATTCAGAATGATATGGTGGTTTCCTAACAGTGCCTTTTGAGTCGGTGTGCTTTTCTTTACACACCTACCGTTCATCCCACCTCCCAAATAGAAGAGAAACAGCTCATAGTGTCTTAGCATCTGCTTTTTCCATCATAGTTTATTTTGAAAGTAAGTAAGTAAGTAAGTAAGTAAGTAAGTAAGTAAGTAAGTAAGTAAGTAAGTAAGTAAGTAAGTAAGTAAGTAAGTAAGTAAACTTTATTTCTATAGCACCTTTCACAGACAAACATCATAAAGTGCTTCACAGAAAGCAAAAATAAT